CACGTATGTGACTAACCATTACCTGTGAACGATACACGTATGTGAATAACCATTACCTGTGACCGATACACGTATGTCAATAACCATTACCTTTGGTCAGCATAAACCTGTGACTAGTAGATGTGACTGACCAGAAGCTGTGACTGATTGGTGTTATTTTTTTACCATTTACGCTCTTATTAATTCCAGATACCGTGAAGTTCGAGAAGAGTGTTACAGAGTACGATTGCACAAGGGTAAATATTGAATTATCCCCTTGTACTGAACTGAACATATCCTACAGACACACAAATATCCATACAATACTTATATATATAGCATGTAAACACACATATAATTAACTTTGAATATCTTAATGTTTGCCCACTGATAGAGTAGTAATTAATTAGTTTCTTATTATAATTCTAGGCTTACGTGCCCACTCCGGAAGTACAGAATGAATTGAAAAGAATCTCCGGCAAACTCGATGATTGCTGTAAGTTATGTTTAGTGTGTTAAGTTTTGTACTGGGTGTGTGCTGACTGTTATACTTCTATGTATGTTAAAATCACAGTTAACTTTCGTGTGGAAAACTTTACTGAAATTGATTGATTTTGCTCCAATAGATGTGATTCAATTGTATACCAATTGCGTGTACTGTAAGAACTACTTAATATAATAATGAAATTATTAACAAAAATATTTATCACAGAAAAAAACCCCATTAAGTTGTAGTTTTAAGATTTGTAACGACTTAGTGCTGTTATATTATAACACATGCGTACTTCTGCTATGTTAATTAAAATTACTGTTCAGCATATTTATAACTCAGTCTTACTAAAACAAAGAAGAAAATATCATCATTTTACATTTTTTATTGATAATGCTATCGGTTATTTGTTACTTTCTTGTTAAGCTATTTTATTGATTTTATATTTTGTATGTGTAGTGTATGATGACTACAGACGGGAGATCGACACTCTCAAGGTAAGAACTACTGTTCCTTATAATAAGAGGTGTTATGAATATTAAATGCAATTTTACAGTTCTTTGCCAAGTTCAATTAAGTCATCTCCATCAAAATGTTTACTCTAAATAAGCATGCTTAATTACATAGCACTGTTTCGAAATGGTAACAAAGTCAATACAAATTTGGCATGATAGAAATTATATGAGATTACGCCCATTCGCGATCGCATGTCATCGAATTTGGACAAAATGTTTTAGAGTTATGCCCCTTTTCATATCAATGTTTGTGAAAACATTGAAGTTCACTGAATACAATTTTGTCTGAAAACTCTAAGTTGTCCTTTATCATCCTATATGTAAGGATCATTGGTCTGCCTTTACACTATATATATATATATATATATATATATATAT